AAATGAGTGAACAGAAATTCAGGGTTTATATATGAAATTCTCACCTTGGCCTCACACGATCAGGGCCAGATGTCAAAAGCCAGTATTTTATGTCTTTTCTCCAGGGTTATAGATTAGCTGCTGAGTGTCACATTTTTTCTTCAAGTTTAGACATTAGGGAGGTTGTTTAGACTTATGTCTTAAGGCTAGTGTACAGAGATTAAGTATGTTATGTCTTCTTTTACCGCAGCATGCTGGGTCACAGTAAACTTAAAGGTTGTTTGCCACATTCTTCACATACTTCACATGCTTCTGTGTCTCAGGTCATAAGTTTTGAAAATAACTTCTAATGGCTTACAGGTTTCTAATGATTTCCAGTTAATGTTAGAGGGCCTCACAAAGATACACATATTTCTAAGTTCATATTATGAATGCTTATACATATGTATTTTGAAAGCATAATAGGGACTTATACCTTTTGGGATTTGAGAGCATACGGAACAGTCTGCTTCTAAGAATTGAGCCTAAGGAAATAGTTTGTCTTAGTTATCTAATGTTCCTATAACAGAAATACCACAAGTGGATGGCTTTAACAAACAGAAATTTATTTTCTCATAGTTTAGGAGGCTGGAAGTCCAAATTCAGGGCACCGGCTCTAGGGGAAGGCTTGCTTTCTGTCAGCTCTCGGGGAAGGTCCTTTGTCTCTTCAGCTTGTTTTCTGGTTCCTTGGAGATCTCCACGTGGCTTGGCATCAACCTTGCCCCATTTCTGCTCGCTTGCTTGTTTAGTCTCTTATATCTCAAAAGAGATTGACTCAAGACACATCCTACACTAATCCTGCCTCATTAACATAACAAAGATAACCCGTTCTCAAATGGGATTATAACCACAGGCATAGAAGTTAGGATTTACAACACATGTATTTGGGGGACACAATTCAATCCATAACATAGTTGTACGAGGACAAAAAGATGTAAGCGCAAGAATATTCATTGAATCTTTGTCATAATAGTGAAAGGGCAGTAACCAAAATGTCCATCAACAGGGTGTTGAATAAATGCAAAGCATGGTGTATAATATTCAGTTATTTTAGATAATGATGTTGATCTATGTTCATAGAAACGGAAAGATGCCCATGATATATTAAGTAGGGGAAAACCCAAAATTCATGCATAGTATGATAAATTTTGGGGGTTAAATTTGTATAGAAATAATTTAAAAGGACATATACCAGCTTATTAGCAGTGACTGACTAGGTAAAATTACAAATGATTTTTGTTTGTTTTGTTTGACCATCTCTTTTATGAAGTATATATATTGCTGTTGTAATGGTAAAAGTAATATGTCTGCTCTTATCAGTAGCCTGAGAGTTATATCTTAGGTACTTTTAAAGAAATAAAATGTCATGGAACACCCATGGGTGAAATTCAGGGGTACACAGACTTGGATGAGAAAAAACAGCTATACCTTGATTGTGCTTGACCTTAAACTGAAATTCAGCATTTTCTTCCTTTGTGATCGGAGGTGAGAAGCCACAGCCAGTGAATCGGAGAAACTTTCTCATCACGTTACATTGTCGAGGCAGCTCAGAGAGGAGGCTGTGCTGTCTCTGGGAAGTGATGGTCATCATCAGACCTGCCGTTGGCGCTTGCTGATTAATTAACGAGTTAATAAAGAAATGCATTTATCAGTGTATCGCAAATTTATTTCTTACTGATAGCTGCACTTCAAGATAGTTGATTTCCTTTGCAGCCCTGTGTATTTAATTTTATGCATTTAGAAACATTATTCTGAATGTAATTAATGTCACTGTATTGTACACTTCGTTGTTGTTATTGTTAGGTGCCGTCGAGTTGCTTCTGACTCATAGAGACCATGTGTACAACAGAACAAAACACTGCCCAGTCCTGTGCCATCCTCACAGTCCTTGCTATGTGTGAGCCCATTGTGTCAGCCACTGTGTCAAACCATCCCGTTGAGGGTCTTCCTCTTTTTCACTGACCCTCTACTTTACCAAGCATGATATCCTTCTCCAGGGACTGGTCCCTCCTGATAACATGTCCAAAGTACATGAGACGAAGTCTTGCCATCCTCACTGCTAAGGAGCATTCTGGCTGTACTTCTTCCAAGACAGATTTGTTTTTCTGGCAGTCCATGGTATATCCCATATTCTTTGCCAACACCACAATTCAAAGGTGTCAGTTCTTCTTTGGTCTTCCTTGGTCATTGTCTAGCTTCTGCATGCGTATGAGACAATCGAAAATACCATGGCTTAGGTCAGGTGCACCTTAGTCCTTAAAGTGACATCTTTGCTCTTTAACACTTTAAAGAGAGGTCTTTTGCAACAGATTTGCCCAAGGCAGTGTTTCGCTTTATTTCTTGACTACTGCTTCCACGGGCGTCGATTATGGATCCAAGTAAAACGAAATCCTTGACAACTTCAGTATTTTCCTCATTTATCGTGATGTTGCTTATTGGTCCACTTATAAGGATTTTTGTTTTCTTTATGCTGAGGTGTAATCCATACTGAAGGCTATAGTGTTTGATCTTTATCAGTAAGTACTTCAAGTCCTCTTCACGTTCAGCAAGCAAAGTTACATCATCTGCATATTACAGGTTGTTAATTAATCTTCCTCCAGTCCTGATGTCATGTTCTTCTTCGTATAGTCCAGCTTCTCAGATTATTTGCTCAGCCTACAGATTGAATTAGTATGGTGAAAGGATACAACCCTGACACACACCTTTCCTGATTTTAAACCACGCATTATCCCCTTGTTCTGTTTGAATGACTGCCTTGTGGTCTATGTATAGATTCCTCATGAGCACAATTAAGTGTTCTGGAATTCTCATTTTTTGCAATCTTATCCATAATTTATTATGATCTACACAGTCCAATGCCTTTGCATAGTCAATAAAATACAGGTAAGCTTTCTGGTAATCTCTTTTTTCTGCCAAAATCCATCTGATTGTACCCTTTAAAATGGCTAAAATGGCAAATTTTTGTAATCTGTATTGTACCACAATAAAATTTAAAAAGAAAAAAAAAAGTCATGGAACAGATGTGGTTTTGATAATATTGGATAATATCACTTAGAAAAATACTTAAAATTTCCATTTAGTGCAAGGGTAGGTTGATTATTCAAACTTTCTAGTTATTAATATTTGATGTGTGTGTGGTAGGGATAGTGTGGGAATTGCAGGGACACATACTTTTCAACTTGGACCTTCTGTACTTTGCCTCTTATTCTTGGGAGAAGTGGTCGAAGTTGAGACAGTGTTACTGGGTTGAGTGCTGGTGGCTGCAGGACAGGGCAGAAAAGGAGGAGTTTGACTGGACTCTGGCTGGGCAGGCTGGGCCACTGGAACAGAAAGGGGAGGCACCCTAACACTTCACCCCTGAAAACTTCAGTATGCGTCTCCTAAGAATAAAAATGTAAGGATAACAGCATTGTTACACCTAGAAAATTAATTTTGACTTGATATTATCTGACATATAGTCCAAATTTAAATTCTCCCATGGTCCTCAAAATGTGAAGTCCCTGGGTGGCACAAGTGATTAAACACTCGACTACTAGCTGAAAGATTGGTGGTTTGAACCCACCCTGAGGCCCCTCAGAAGAAAGGCCTGGCGATCTGCTCTCTGAAGGTCACAGCCTTGAAAACCCTACGGAACAGTTCTGTTCTGCACACGTGTTCGCTGTGAACCAGAATCGACTTGACGGCAACGAGCAATAGCAACCACCTGCAACTGTCTTTTAAAAGCCGCCCCGCTCCCCTAATCCATGATCCAGGCAGGGTTCAGATATTGCGTTTAGTTGTTTTATCTCTTTCTTCTCTCTTAATCTAGATTCTAGAACAATCTCCTTGCCTTTTGTTTTGTTCTGTTTTTCACGGTATTGACTTATTTGAAGCCTTCAGGCCAGCTCTCTTACGGAATGTTCTGTACTCTAGATTTGCCTGGTGGTTTCCTCGTGGTTAAGCTCAGAGTAAACATTTTGGCAAGAATGCACACAGGTGGTATATGTCCTCCTTATTCTATCACATCATGAGGCTTATGCAGTAAAACCTGCGAAAGCTGGGACCGGTGTACAGAAACCTGTCAGAGAAGGAAAACTCAAATATTTTCCACTAATAGAGAGCGATGGAAAAGTGGTAAGACTGCACCCTGTCACTGGCAGAAAACTTGCGAGACCTGGAAAAACAAGGCAGTTCCGTCAAGCTCCGGCTCTCACAGGTTTCACCATATTGTCAGGTGGTCTCTCTCTTGGTGATGCTTGTTATTTTTAATGAATGGGAAGCTCAGTCTCACAGAAGAAAAGCTAAGGGTATTAAACATTCCTTTTATTGGAATTTTTACATCTTTCATGAGCACAAAGAAAAGGCTTATTAAGAGGATAGATGTGAAAAATAAAATCTCAAGTGGTTCATTATCTTCTGAGAATTCAAATCCTTCCTTTTTATGGAAAAAACATCAATATTTGTTCAGTTGCCAGTCTTTATCCCTGCATTTGTAAGAGTAGGTTGGGAAATTTAGTATTCTACTAGTTGCTTTCCCCGTTGGTTTTTTTTTAATCACCAAAACAAAAATCAGCGCAGGTAGAGATACGAGACGCTGCTCTATTTGTGTCCTTCTAAAGCCCAAACCAGAATGTGTGAACATACCGCCTGTCCTTCTCACTTCTCATTGTAATAACTTTTTAAAATCTAAGGATATATTCTTCCTGAGATCTGGGGAGTGTTAGAAGAATTAAAGCTAATTGTATTTGGAGATGTTTCCTGAATGCATCTTTGCTTTTTTTCCAAAACCTTCAGCTGGACTAACAGAAAATCCAGAGTTTTTTGGTTTTTTTTGGGGGGGTGGGGGTGACATGACTCTGTCAGCACTTGTTTCTCTTCGTGGTTCTCTGAGAATAAGAGATTTGGGGAGTCCTGCTGAGGCATAAAGTTAACTTGTTTGAACGTGAGTCTTTGTGATGATTGTAGGTAGTAACTAGTAATATGGAGCTGTTGATCTTTTTCAGGGCGTCTTTTATGACTAAAACTGTGCCTTGTGGAAATGAGCTTCATAAGTTCCTCATCTGGGACACTGCTGGCCAGGAGCGGGTAAGTGCGTGCTCATGTTGGCTTTCTGGAGAAATAATGGGGTTCAGTTTCTCAAGATCTCTTTGCGTTATGCAAGACTGTTGGTTGCAAGTCACAGAGACCCAGCTTAAAATAACGTAAGCAAAAAAGGAAATACATTCTTCAGCTAAGGAGTACCTTAGGCAGGGCTGAGCTCAAGTCCTCAGAATATATTGTCAGAGGTACTCATCTCTTTATTCCTGTTTGCTTGCTTACTTCTAGATTGTCTTCATTTCAGGCAGGCCCTATCCCTCCTCCCTAAGGGCGCCAAGGATGGCCCCATGAACAGCTCCAGGCTGCATTCTGCCACTTTAGCAACCCTGCAAGGGAGTGTACCTCTTTCTCAAATGTTGCAGCACAAGTCTCAGCACTTGTGGGTTCTCATTGGCCTAGTTTGTCACGTGCTTACCCTTGAGCTTAATGCTGTATAAGGAAGGGTTCAGGGGGATTTGGTGCTCCACCTGGGTGTGCTGGGTAGATGCTGACCCCTAGAGGTAGGGGGTGGTATCAGCCACACCTGGGCCACAGTGGCTGAAAGTCAACTTAGTCTCCAAGGAAAACCTTAGTTCCCCTACTAGAAGACAGGAATGGATGCTGGATTACCAGAAACAACGAATGACTTCTCTCTTCTTAATTCTTTTTATTTGCTGGAAATATTTATGGAGAAAATATTTATTTAAGAAACGTGTGTCTTCAGATTTTAAAAAGTAAACTGATGCACATCAGCACAAACGGTAACAGGGTATTTGCGTAACTACAGTAGATATAATCAGGATGGGGAGGGATGACGAGGATAAATGAGGCACATAGATAACCAACACCTTGTCTTCACAAAGAGCTTTCTGCCTCATCAGATCTTTTATCAGAGCTGATAACTATGTAGAATTGGTTGAACTTCCTCTCCTCTGATGCAAGCTCAAATGCCACTTTCTCTAATGACCTTTTAGGATGTCAACACTCCTTCCTTTCCCCACCCTGCTCCACTCCCTTCCTATCCTCCTAGCCTGCCTCGTTTTTCTTCATCCCTCTCTCACCTTCTGATCTACTGTTTAGTCCATTTAGGGATTTTGTTTCTTGTCTGTCTCTCCAAAAAGAAAGAATCCAGGGTTCAGGATAATTGGTAATTTTAATTATCAGCTCCTAACTAATCAAGTGGTTGCTTATATAATTTTCATTTCATATAAATCCCCTTCTGAAACTTTTAAAAGTTCCAGCGTTTGCAGATTAAAGCATTTTAAAGAATTTTTTATTTTAAATAGGACAAATCTTTTGGCCTACAAATGCTAACCTGGTTAGAATGTCTCCTATTTTGCTGCTAAATTGAAAGACTTTTTTACACGTAAAGTCACTGCCTGGAGCAACTTTTTAACTGGGTCCACCAGCCATGTGTGCTGACTCCTTTGGAAATGAGATGACCGATTCAAGGAAGACAGGGATTTGACTTCTGTACATGCTTGTGGTCAATCTGCTTGTAATTGTTCTGCTAAATTTTTGTTTGGTTAATTTTTTGATTAAACTTAGGCAGAGAGATTTTCTTGCTTCCCTTTTTACTTTTGGCCACAAAATAGTCAGTTTTCAGCTGCTTTTAATGAGCATAATACATCAATTTTGCAAATAGCTGGCTTAGTATTAGTAGCACCAGTACTGCCAACTGGTGTTTGTTGAGTGCATGTTGTGCTCCATCTACTCTTCTGAGTCCCTTGTGTGTATTATACTCCTCTCAACAACAGTACGAGGTAGGGATCATTATTATCCCCATTTATAGATGAAGACACTGAGGCACAGGGTGGTAAGTAACGTGTTCAAAATTACACAGCTGATGAGGCATAAAGCTGAGATTTGAATCCAGCAGTCTGGATCCTGAGCTTCATAGTTTTGTTCTGATTAGAAAAATTAAAATAGAAGCCATACAGTTGAAAGTAAAATCATCCTAAATCCCACCACCCAGATATTTCCACTATTGACAATAGATGGTCATTCTTCAGATATCTATGTGTATTGATAATTGTATATCAGTGGGATCATGATACTTTTATAATCTGCTGTTTTCACTTGATAATACAGTGTCGCTAAGGGGTGGTTTCTTTGTGATCTAAACAGAGTGTTTGTCCTTTACTTACCTATTCTGATTTAGCTCACAGGGGATTGACTGCTTTTGAAGAAATTGGGTACTCTGCTAAAATGACTGTTGTACTTTGCAGTTTGGCCCACTTACCATCTCAAAACAAATTATTTTTATTGCTTTTCCTAAAATTTGACATGTCTGTAGTTTTTAAAAGCACTAGTATTATATGTACAAGGCGTAACTTCATTGTAGTGATACTTTTTCTTTACGTTTCTGGGAAAGAGAGATTTAGTTTTGGAAAACAATTTTAGGTAAATGCTGTTGAGAACCGAGGTTTGTGGTGATTGTGGAGCAATATTTACAAGACCTATGGGGCAGCTCTACTCTGTCCTATAGGGTCGCTATGAGTTGGAATTGACTTGACAACAACAGGTTTTTTGGTTTTTGTGGCCGTCTGACCCTCTAATCCTCAAAGTTCTGCATTAGTGATCCTCAGGCTGTCCTTGTCTGAAACTTGTGTGGTGGAGTCTCCAGTAATCTCTCCAGCAGTGGCAGTTTTTCAATCGTTTTGGCAACTTGTTGCCGGACTTAATTGTAATGATGTCGCCTAATGTTTGAGCTAAAAATAAGACCCCCCTGCTGTTGCTCTGCCTATTTCAGTTCATTCTGTCTCATTAATTGTTGGAGTCTGTGCATTTCTTTGTCCCTCCTTATCTCTGTAGATATCTGCTCCTTTTCTCTTTAGTTTTCATAATTTTGAGCAATCTCTTTGGATTTATGATTTGGCAGTATAAAGGCATATATTTTTGTGTCCTCAAAGGGGGATACTGTTTTGCATGTGTTACTCAATATGGATTTGTTTCTGGGCTGATTGAACCAAGTTCAGCCCAGCACACACAGCATTCCAGTTAATGCCCTTCTCCTTGCCCAGTACTAGTTCTATATTCTGTTGGTTGTACAAATTTATTCTTTTGAAAAATTACTTTCCCTCTGAGCACTGGAAATGTAAAAGCCTTCTCCTCCGCCTTCCTCTCTTTATACGAGTGAGAACTCATTCATGACATGCTGTTTGAATTTGGCTTTTTTCATTCAGCCATGTATTATGGACATCCTGTCTCATACTTTCAATGGTTATGTGTAATCCATACAGTGCCTGTGTTAAAGACTTTGTTTGTTTTGTTTAACCATTTTCCAATTGATTGTTAAATTCAATCTGTTAGAAGCTTAACATTTTCAAGATCTGTATATTCAGTGTGTTGTTGCTCTGCAGAGGGATGTGAGAGGAGTGTGCTCGGTTGGATTGCTGTCTTGTAGCGTCATTGTGGGCTGTGAAATTGTTACCCTGTTCTCTGTGAAGGTTATTGTTCTGATTTCTGCTCGACACCGAGCTAGGAGGAGAGCACAGTGGGTCTCTTCATCCTTCTCTCACCTTCTAATCTATTGTTTAATTCATTTAGTGATTCTGTTTCTTGTCTGTCTGTCCAAGAAGAGAGAATCCAAAGTTCAGGATGATTCATAATTTTAATTAGCAGCTCCTAACTAATCAAGTGTTTACCCATATAGTTTTCATTTCCTATAAATCTCCTTCCAAAGGAGACATCTTTGGAGGGATGTAAGCAGGAACTGCACCTCAGAGTAGTCCATGGGAGAGAGAGAGAAATTTATCTGCCCAGCTCCTTCCTCCCATCTCCTCGAGGTCAGCATTGTGATGGGTAGATAAGATTTCTGTCCTAATATATCAACAAATCATTCTTTCCCACTGAGATTCCTTTTGACTTCCTTGTTTTTCTACTTAAATTGAGGAATATAGTATCTGTTGTATTTATCTATTTAATTTGCTATTAAAAATGTCTTATCACAATAGGAAATGTGATCCTTTTCTGTGTGTGTGCTTTCAAATCGCTCAGTTTTTGCTTTAAACACAATCACAATCCATAGGATAGCCACACTGAAAATGTCAATATCTTGGAAGAATTCTAGGCACCATTATCTTGTTCTGATTCATCAGAGCAACATCATTCTTAGAATCTAACATTGAAGAATTTTCTTATGTTAATCTTAATCTTTTCTTTCATGTTGCTTGAAGTAAGTGTTACAGCTGTCTGTCTCTCCTAACAGACTGCCTGAATCTTGGTGGTTGTACATTTTAAATTTTGGTTTCAAATGAACCATAGTCACAAACACCACAGAGGTTAAATGATGGGTTTGTTACTAGAATAAAATCTCTCCATTACTGGACAGACACATCTGAAGTTAAACAGATTAACTTCTGAAATCAAACTCATTACTTTATGCTTTATACAGATGAAATTGAAGAATACATGTATCGACTGAAAAATAGCCTTCCCGTCCCCCAATAGCTAGAGGAATTGTTTGGCATTGAGCATAATGGTAAAAATGACATTATGGCCCAGAGTCATATAGCCAATTATATAATTTATTATTACCGTCCTTTGTGTGTGTGTGTGTGTGTTTTAATTTGGTAAAACATTGAAAATGAAAGAAATGCTAAGTATGAACAATTGAATGACACGATGTAGGACTGACAGGGAGCCCTGGTGGTGCAAAGGTTAAGTGCTTGGCTGCTAACCGAAAGGTTGGCGGTTTGAACCTATCCAGCGGCTCCATGGGAGAAAGACCTGGAAATCTTCTCCTGTAAATATTACAGCCCAGAAAACCCTGTGGGTCAGTCTGCTCTTCACATGGGGTTACTATGAGTCAAAAATCAACTCAACGGTACTCAACAACGGCAACTACAATGCAGGACTGAGTAAGCTGATTTTATCTGTATAAGATTGAGCTAGTGTAGAATTCTAAGTACCATCTTAAATAAACAAGATTTTATGTAGAATATAGAAATCTTCATCTTGAAAATGGGCGTATGGCTGAGTATGTTTATTCTTTTTGTCTTTTTATT